TGGGCCAACAGTTTCGGAGATTAGCCCATATAAACAGACAAACAGACAGACAGAGAAACAAAAAAATTAAAAAATATTCTGGATTTGTTCTATTTCTCTTCTTACATCCCCCTGACTCGGTTTTTAGCATTTTTTTTCTATGTACAGACATTCGACTTCTACAGTTTTATTATATTTATAGATATAGATTATAATAGGATAAATTCAACGATTGATTTTTATTTTAAACTCAATCTCCACAGCATTGTTATTAATAATACACTTCCGAAAATCTATTTGTGGATTTAGTTGGATTAATTCTTTGACGCAACAATGAAATTACGACAGGGCTTAACTTTTTGCGTCAAAATAGCTGTTCACAGATCGGGTACTGATGTAAGTTACATTTTATTCGGTTTAAAGACATTACCGTGGAATATTAGTTAGCAGGAAGCACAAGTTAATAAATAAAATTATCCAATTTATATGTCTACAACATTACAATTTAACTTAAATTTAAAAACATGATGTAAAATAATCACTTAAACCATAGAAAACATAACATCAGCCAAGTATTTTGACCCGGCGCAGTAAATGAAATTTCATTTAACTCGATGAATTTTTAAACTACGACTCGTACTCAGATTTGAAAGTCAAATATGAATGTAATGTGAAAAGTGTTGCGAAATTCGGTGCTTATTCATAAGAAATGCATTAATTACAAAAGCAAACTTAATTGAAATCAATTTATTTAATGCTATATTGATACATATTTATTGAAAATTTAATTAAAATTTTGTACATGTAAAAAGTGAAGATTCAAATGTGCTTGTAAAAGTTTATTTGAATTAAGTATAATTTGATTGATTTGAAACTAGTTTTCGTCTGCTTTAAAATGTATCTGTTAATTGCGTATTTAAAATGGACACACATTTTATTTATTCCATACTAGCATGCCCGCGGCTCCGCCCGCTTTCAGATGACCAAAAACCAAATTCTTAGGGTTTACATATTAGTATATTCTTACATTGTAGTTTTTGTATTTTTTTCTCTGAAATGAGACATTTTCCCGCGGTAAAAAGTATTCTATATATTGACTCGGATAACCAGCTATCACCATACCAAATTTCATCAAAATCCTTTCAGTGGTCTTTCTGTGATGCGGTAACAGACAGACAGACAGACAAAAATTCTAAAAACTATAGATTCGTTCTCTGTATCGATAATAATGTTTATTTCAATAAGATTTTCCAAAAAATATTTAATGTACAGATTAGGCTTAATTACAATTTTATTATATGTATAGATAATACTTTCTTATTTTATTATTTCATAATAAAAATATTTTATATATTTTTCATAAGAATTGCAACCTTCTTAATAAATATTACATATTCCTTCATTTAGTGACCGACAAGACACATCCCATACAACGGGGAAATACATACATAATACATATATATTTAAATTTTATATCTTCACTTTTTATTTATTATTATACATTTGCTTCTGTTTGAGGATGTATAACAAAGTACTATTTCGAATAGACTACATGTGACTTGAGAAAAACATTTACATTGTACGTACCTTAGCGATGTACGGGTCTCCTTTGATATTCTTAAAAAAAAGAAAAAAAGTCTTTTAAAATAGCATTCGTTCACGAGAGCTTTGTGGATAAGCTTGAAGGCTATTTCAACAATTCTAACTATATTTAACTTATACAACTTATTTTAAATTTTACCACAAAAAAATTATATACTTAAATATAGTACAAGAATTGAAATAACTAATATATTATTTAAAGTAGTTCAAATTTAAAATTTTGAATCGGTGCGATTTCATAAATACCATTAAAAAAATATTGAGACATAAAACTATAGGTTTATTTCTTGTTTGTTTGAGCGTAATAATATCTGGAGTTACAAGCCATATCCGGAAAATTATTTATGTATACATTGACATTCAAATCCTATTTATACGTGATTAAAGTACACGGACGAAGCCACGGACTTAAGCTAGTAATAAATATCCAAATATTAGCCTCCAATATGAAATAATCATTACCGCTAGAATGTTTCAAATCCAATACTTAACGCTTTTGTAAGGCTTTATTACACTTACACATACATTACATTGCAGTCGTCGGTGGATATATTGTAATAGGATTATCAACAGATGGACGACAAATTGTGGTATTGAGGGCGTTTGCAAACCGGTCACCTGATTTTTGTTGAAATTCTGGAGCTTAAAGGCAAAAAGCAATTTGTTACAATTTTAATATTTATCTCCAGCCCGACGATATTTTTATAGTTTCTATTGCGTGAATTTACCTTTTTAGTTCATGTTTATTAGTTATTGTAGCAGTAGCGGGTTCGAGTTTTGCTTCGGTCAAATTTTAGTTTTTCTGTAGGTAAGTAAATTGTCAGTAGTAACCCGACGACAAAAAATTGGTTATGTTAAACCCTTCTGAGGACATGCACTAAACGTTGATCTTTTCTAATTGTGTAAAATTACTGTACCCTGACACTAGAATTTCTGCACTATATTGATCACTTTAATTTTATACAGGAGGTAAATTTTTAATAATTTGCCAATATTTACTTATTAATTAAATATACTAATATTTTATTTTATTACATGTGTAGATTAAGCTTATAAGAGACTATTAGTTACTTTCTGTTGGTTGTTTTCTTTGGTGGTAGCTTATAAATTATTCTATAGTTGGACTTGCTTATTTATTATACTACAGAATTATTTATTAATTACCGTCAGCGTCTACTTTTTTTACTTTTACTGCTATAATCATTATAAAAAGAGAAGAGATAATGATTTATTGCAGCGCAATAATTATGCGGCTCTAATATTCATTAAGTCATTCAAATCAAGTTTCCACTAATCATTACAAATATTATAATATTACAGGATTATTTGGTTGGAGCGTTCTTTCGCTAATGGCTGCATATGAATAAGAGAGGAGGTAAAGACAATTCATAATATTTTATATAATTTATAAAGAGAGAACTTTTTTCATATATTTCATCATAGCATTTTTCCATCATGCCTGAATATTAATAGATTGGAAAAAATGTAGAACGTCTAAAGAGCACTTAAGGCCTAAGAAGCGTGGATGGGTCGTTAAGAATGTATATTTTTAATAGCGGCTCACCCTCGCTTCGCTCGGTTCCGCCTCTAGTGAAACAAATACAAACCTACCCCACGGGAACCGTACATCTTTCCGGAATAAAAAGTAGCCTATGTGTTAATCCAGACTATAATCTATCTCTGTGCTAAATATCATCCAGATCTGTTAGCCGTTCTGGCGTGAAAGATTAACAAACATCCATACAAAATCGACAACTTTCAAATTTATAATATTCTATTAATATTAATATTTAATTGAATCATACGTTCAAAATTACATCTAAGCAGTTTAGAGGATAAAAAACACCGCCTACTATAAAATCGTTTATCATTTACGATGCTTCAACAGCTATCACTGGCAACTATTAATCATCAATTAAAATCGATATTGCTTCTATGTATGCAAATATATTCAGAATGTAACTCGATTGCATACGAAATGCGGTTATGGGTTTTTGCGTACTAGACGACCACGACACGACACAGATTTGCGATTTATATGATAAAGATGTTTTTTGGATGTTCTAACATGCATCTCATAACATACAAACAGCGATGGTACGTGTTTCTAATAAGAACACAAAATTCTATTGTTTTATTACACAAATGAAAGTTTGTGAAGATATATGACAGTTACTTAATCACGCGTAAGCAATTGATTTTAATTTAGACGAAATTTTCTACAGAAATTGATAATTTTATAGAAAATCTTATAGGGTTTTAGCCCAGCATAAGATAACCTTTAGTGGGTACTACTAATTTTTTGGTGACTCCCACATGACTATCTGTAAGTATCGCAGGTGGTATGCGTAAGTACCTTTCTCAACTTTTGAAAAAAAGGATTGAATTAATTTTGATTTGTATTGGATATTATTTTTGATGACTCAGTGATAGCTTATAGATAGCACCACTTATTGTAACGAAAATCGGTCTGGTACCTGCATCAGGTATAAATCTTATGATGTTCTTCTGACCGATTCCGGCCACGGCAGCCAATCTCATTGAGACTAGCCAACTGCGCAGGAGATATTATAGTGTACAAGTGTACTCGCAGACACAAGTGCACTATCTATTCCTATCACTCTCATACTCCGGTGGGACGACTGTTCGACACGACCGGTGAGAGTTGAGGCGCCGGACCGACGGCTTTACGTGCTCTCCGAGGTACGGGGGTGAAACACCGCTAACTTCCCAACTCCGGGTTGTTACTGAGGCTTACTTTACAGAAAGACTCAATAACTAAACTTGGCCCGACCCGGGACTCGAACCCAGGACCTCCAGGTGTGCAGCCGTACACGCTAGCCACTACACCACCGAGGCAGTTTAAAATAAAGCTTATATTGGTTGTCCGTAACTTCACTTGTATGAAAGATACAACGATAAAAAAATCTATAGGTATATTTTTCCGGAATGTTACATGCATGGTCAACGTTGTGGGTCCTTTCCTATAAAGGAAAGGTTCATGCCTAGCAGTAGGACTTTAAAAGAGCAGAATAATTAATATTATAAAATACAAGCGACTCACCCTCACTTCGCTTCGAGTTCGTCTAGTGAAAAACAAATCTATTCCACGGGAACTGTACATTTTTCCGGGATAAAAAGTAGCCTTATGTACTATTCCAGACTATAAAGTTTTAAAGTGCAAGTGGTTGATATGGAATTACCCACATATTTTATTTAATACAATAACAGCTGCTGATACAAAATATTGATCTTCATAAAATATAACTCAAATATTCACACAGTAACTTAAGCATTTCGTTAGCTCAGTGTAGCGAGAGAGAACTTTGTGTTGGAATCTGACCGAGTGGTCGTGGTTCAAATCTACGAACGAGATCCAATTATCATTTTTAAAATATTTTAAAATATATTTCTTTAAAATGTCAAGTGGTTGTAACGTCTGCAAATTGAATGTATTAATTACACAAAAAAGAATTAATTGTGTAAAGTGTCAAGCCAAATACCACTTTGAATGTATTGTTCCACCGGGGTCTTCTAAATCACCTATTATACGAGGGCAGTGGGTTTGCCCGATCTGTAAGAACAAATCTCCGCCTACATTATTGGAAAGTAGTATCGCAGGTACAACTAAAACTACGGAAGAAACGGTTGCTCCTGAGGGTAATTGGCTTACGGCGATAAGAAACGAAGTGCAGAAAATCATATCTCAAACTGTGAGTGTCGAATTGACAAAAATTCGTGAAGAGTTGACCGGTTTGCATGACATACAATCATCCATAGAATATTTATCGAGTATCTTTGACACAGTGAAGCAAGAGCTGGAAGACGCAAAAAAAGAAATATTATCACTGAAGAAGGATAATAGTGATCTTAGAGACATCGTAAATAGTCACGCAAATATAATAAATATACTTGATAGGGAGGCTAGAGCAAACAATATTGAAGTGCATTGTATTCCAGAACATAAAGGCGAAAATCTGCTCAAAACAGTAGAACAAATTGGAAGAGTGATAAACACTCCTATAACTGAAGGAAGTGTAGTTAAGTGCACCCGAGTAGCAAAATTAAACAAGATTTCTACGCGTCCAAGATCTGTTATTGTTAAATTTAGCTCTTCCCTGCTAAGAGACAAATTTTTGGCAGGAGTGATTAATTTTAATAAAGCGAATAAAGACGACAAGTTAAGTACGGCACATCTGGGCATATCGGGAGAGAAGAAGCCGGTGTACATTTCAGAGCACTTGACTTCTACAGCTAAAGATATCTACGCCGCAGCACGTATTTTTGCTAAAGAGAAAAATTATCGTTTTGTCTGGTCACGTAACGGCAACGTATTTTTGCGGAAAACAATATCAAGTGACGTAATATTGGTGAAATCTAAGGATCACTTACTTACTTTAACATAAAGACGGTCATATTTTATCATTCTCTTAATTGCATAACTCTGATATTCTAATATTTTAATTTAAACAAGAAACTATTACAATTTAATGGTCAATCACTTAAATCTATTCTATCAGAATGTTAGGGGAATAAGAACCAAAACAAAAGATGTATACCTGGCTATTCTTAATTCCAATTTTGACGTAATAGTTTTTACTGAGACGTGGCTTAACAGTGGAGTATCGAATAATGAGTTAATTGATGATAGATATAATGTATTTCGTCGGGATCGCGAATCCAGTCAATCTAATAAATTGGACGGTGGAGGAGTAATGATAGCGGTGTTAAAAAAGTATAAATGTTACAGGGTTAATTCGTGGGAAACAAACTGTGAAGATGTTTGGGTTAATGTAGTATTAAATTCAGGAACTATCTCTATATGTGCCGTATACATACCATCTCCGCTTAATTACAACACTCTTGAACAGTTCACGCAGAACGTTGAACAAATAATAATTAACGAACAGTCACCCACTGTGATTGTTGGTGACTTTAATATTCCGTCACTGAAATGGAGCTTTGATGATCATAACACTTGTAAAATGATTCCATGCAATAGTGGCGCGGCAGTATCTATTATTAATGATTTTATGGCACTAACAAATCTATCTCAATTTAATTGCGTAAATAATGTATACGGTAAAATATTGGATCTCGTTTTCAGTACGTCCAAAAATGTAAAAGTAAAACGAAGTGACTTTTCCGTGTGTTTAGTGGATAATTTTCATCCACCTTTAGACATTGACCTTAGAATAGAACATAATGAATCATTTTTAGTTACGAATAAAATAATAAAATACAACTTTAGAAACGCTGACTACGAAGTAATAAATAAATGTCTTGCTGCCCTGAAATGGGAGTATCTATTTAGTAAGTGCGATAACGTAAATGAAATGACCGTTATCTTTTACACAGAATTACGTAACGTAATAGAAAAATGTATAACAAAAAAAGAAGTAAAAAATAATACACATTATCCAGTCTGGTATTCAAAAAACTTAAAAAAAAGGCTAGCGGAGAAGAATAAATATAGAATACTGTTTAAAAAAATATAATAATCCAATGGATGAAATAGAATTTAAGCTATTGAGAGACAGATGTGAGATTCTTATTAACTCGGACTACAAAAAATATTTAGATAGGGTAGAGCATAATATTAAAATAAATCCAAAATTTTTTTATTCATATTTAAAAAAAATGCGTTCCAACAAATGTGACTTTCCTGCATTAATGACTCTAAACGGCGTTTCATCTACTAATGGAGCTGATATCTGCAATCAATTCGCTACGCATTTCTCAAATGTATACACTTCACCAAATTTAACAACGCATCAATCTTCTAAAACTACAATATCATATCACAATTCAGAATTGACTAGTATAAAAAATCCTGGAGAAGGATATCATTGTAAAGTTAAAATGTCTTGATGTAGATAAAGGGTGTGGTCCTGATGATATACCTCCTATATTTGTTAAAAATTGTGCTGCTTTTCTGGCAAAGCCTTTGTATATAATATTTAATAAATCACTGAGTGACGGAGAATTCCCATGTTTATGGAAAAAGGCCAGAGTAGTTCCTATATTTAAAAGCGGCGATAGGAAGGATATAACAAAATACAGGCCGATTTGTATATTGTCAGTCTTTTCTAAAATATTTGAGTCGTTGATTTGTCCGGTGCTTACTTGGCATATGAAATCGGCAATGATAGAGAATCAACATGGCTTTGTCAAAAAAAGATCCACTATGTCGAATTTGGCGATAGTAGTCGATGATTTATCGATAGCATTGGATAAATCTGAACAAATAGACTGCGTCTATACTGACTTGGCCAAAGCATTTGACGTAGTCGATCACCATATTTTATTGAAGAAACTTAGTGGCTACGGTTTCAATGGTAATCTTATTAAGTGGTTTGAAAGTTACTTGGCAAACCGTAAAATGAATGTAGTTGTCGGGGGTTATCAGTCACGAACGTTTATTGCGACTTCAGGAGTACCACAGGGCTCCACTCTTGGTCCAATATTGTTTGGGTTTTTTATAAATGACATAGTTCAGTGTTTCAAATACTGTCAATTTCAACTATATGCTGATGATCTTAAAATATATAAAAAAATAGAAGACATAAATGATTGTATATATATACAACAAGATTTAGATAGACTTTCGGTATGGTGTGATCATAATAATTTAAAGTTAAATCATTTAAAATGTTACATTATAACGTTCAGTAGAAAAGTAAAAAATGTCAATTTTGATTACTGTATTAACGGGAATGTTCTAGAGAAAGTCAGCCAAATCATTGACCTCGGGATCATTTTAGATAGTAAATTAAGTTTTATACCACATTTGGATGACATAATACAAAAATCATTGAAATTGTTAGGTTTTATTATGAGAACTTCAAAAGAATTTAAAAGATCCTCAACCAAAATAGCGCTGTTTAATTCGATGATACGTAGTAGACTTGAATATTGCTCTGTTGCATGGAATCCTCAGTATCAATTTCATAAAGATAGGATAGAAAGAGTGCAAAAGAAATTTTTACGGCAATTGGCGTACAGAGATAATGTACTGAAACAAAGTAAAAGCTATTACGATCATCTAAAATTATATAAATCTCTGTCTCTATTTAATCGTAGAGACTTAGCAGATCTTTGTTTTTTACATAAAATTATAAATGGAGGTATCGATAGTCCAAATTTGTTAAATAGAGTAAGGTTAGCAGTACCAAGGCATAATGCTAGAGGTCACATTAAAAAGAAGCAAACTTTTAAACAACGATTTGCTAGGAGTAACCTTGGCAAGGCCGCCCCTGTAAATAGAGTAATCATTACATATAACAACGTATTTTTAAAAGCAGGTTTGGATATTTTCCAACAATCAGCTTCATCTTTTAAGCGACAATTTAAAAAATTTGTCAACACATAGAATTGCCTTTAATAGTTTTTTAATGTTTTATGCGTAATTTGTTTTAATTTTTTGTTTTGTTTTTTTTTTTTTTTTTTTTTTTTTTTTTTTTTTAACTCACAATGAAATATTTTATATTTTATAGTTCGTATTGTTTATTTACATTTTAGTAGTTTTTAATTTTTAGCGGTCTTTATTGTTATGTGTTTTTTTTTGTATAATTTTTTAGTTATGTAAGTTTTTAAAATTACTAATTTCAAAGGATGTTTTGTATTGTTTTCCGTTTTTCTTTATATTATGCATGTTGAGTTAGCCTGTAAGTGAGGTATACAATTTCTACCACAGATATATAAGAGTGTGCTCTAGAATAAGAAATATTATTGTATACAACGTTGGCTTCCTATTTAAATAAATAAATAAATAAATAACCTATCTCTGTACCAAATTTCATCCAGATCCGTTCAGCCGTTCTGGCGTAAAAGAGTAGTAGTCCATCCATCCTCACAAATTTTCACATTTATAATATTAGTATGGATATTAGTATGGGCTCGTTCATCCCTGTGTACCTGACGGTACGTAGCCTATGAGAGAGAGATTTACACTATGGGCACTCGGGGCGCCCAGGCGCCCATGGCGGCAATATTCGAAGGATAAATAAAAAAATCTTCGCGTTATCGTAAATGTTTTTTTTAAATTTTCCAAAAAATGAATAATTACAAAAAATACTATTTTTTGCATTTATTAAATTAAAAAAATGAACTTTATAGAAACTTTATCCATTTTATGCAAAATTTCAATAATGGAGCAGCATTTCTTACATTGCCCATGGGCGGCGCTAAGGTTGAATCGCGCACTAGTGTAGCTCCAAGTCCTAGTTTACATGTTTAGTATATAATACTAAATTGCATACAAATTTGTTCAGCCGTTTAAGTGTGAAACTGGGACAAACATACACAAAAAGACATACAAACTCCCCGAATTTGTAATAATCTGATATTCACAGAAAGATGATTGTCGTAACATATAAAAGTCCTTATTACCAACATTTTGCAGAATAAAGCATTACATTCTCGTTCCCGACGTTATTTGATTTCACTTAACGTGAGTTTTGTTGTTTCCATGGAAATTTTAGAGATAAACAGGTTCAAACTGAGATGAATATCAATAGGAGGCTTTTAACACATTTGTTAAAGAATTGTTTTACAAAAGCTTTAATGTTTGGTAATCCTGATACTAGCATGTTTTTAAAAGTGGATAATTATTTTCGAATATATTATGTACATATTTATGTATGTATGTAAATGTATTTTTTGGCAAAAAGGAGTTCAACAAACGATATGTACTAAAATACTTCATAAGCAATTGCGTAGTCTTTTATTATTAATCTATACATATAATAAAATTGTAACTCAGTCGAATCTGTACATAAAATATTTTTTGGAAAATCTTATTGAAATAAACATTATTATCGATACAGAGACCGAATCTATAGTTTTTAGAATTTTTGTCTGTCTGTATGTCTGTTTGTCTGTCTGTTACCGCATCACGGAAAAACCACTGGAGGGATTTTGATGAAATTTGGTATGTTTGTAGCTGGTTATCCGTGTCAAAATATAGGATATTTTTACCGCGAGAAAATGTCTCATTTCTGAGAAAAAATACAAAAACTGCAATGTAAGAGTATACTAATATGTAAAACCTAAGAATTTTATTTTTGGTCATCTGAACGCGGGCGGAATGTGTGCATTGTATATTCGGTTGGCACAGGAAAGAATCTGACGATTTCCAATTGTATCCAGTTTGCTTCTAGATAACCGCGAGACTGGTAAAGAAGCGAGGTTAGAACGTTTGCAAAATATCATATCACACATCATGTGTAAACGAAAGGCAAATCTACAATCGCACTTTAGCTTTTATAATATTAATAATATATGTAATAAATGGGGTTTAAAATGTATTAATGAAAATCTCGTTGAATTAATTTATTAATATACTCGGTATATATTATACATGCAAATAGGATATTACATAATTTGGCGCTTCTAATCCAACCATTCGTGATGCGGTATGGATGATTAATTATGAATTATATCAAACAGTGCGATTGCGGTTAAAATCAAATATATACCTATGTATATGTAAATAGAGTAATACATTATATTATTATGTAATAAGAACTTGCATCAAAATTAACTTATAGTTAGGATAAACAAAAAAATATAGCTAAGTGCGAATCAGATTCGCTGATCGAGTGTTTTATACTACCTAGAACAAAATATATTTGAGTTATCAATAAAATTGTTGAATCGGTATTGAATAGCGGTAATAAAGTATTATTTCTATTAAAACTTTTTTGGATATAGTATTTATTACTTCAGTCTTCAAATCAAATCAATCAAAATTGACTCTCTTTAACTAGACCTATCAGAAACACTTTTGAATC